TGTGTGTGTGTGTTGTTTTCCTTATTAATAAAGTTAGAAGTCTCATGTTAATAAGCAACTTTATTTTCCTCTGGTAAATTCTGTTGTATCCTTTGTCTGTTTTTTTTTTTTTAAGAGTGAGAGAGAGAATTTTTTAATATTTATTTTTTAATTCTCGGCGGACACAACATCTTTGTATGTGGTGCTGAGGATCGAACCCAGGCCGAACGCATGCCAGGCGAGCGCGCTGCCGCTTGAGCCACATCCCCAGCCCTCCTTTGTCCGTTTATAGGAAGAACATCTTTGTCTTAAGCCCTTCTTCAGAGTCTCTGATAATGTTTAACTTTCATATCACCTAGCTTCTTTTCTAAGCAGAAGGAACCAGAAAGAATAGGGAAAGGTTTTTGAGTTAATTCACTAGCACTTACTGTCTGCAAATTACTGTGTTTCAGATGGGACAACATAGCATTCCTGCCCATAAAGATATTCTGGTCTAATAAGAGGGCAGATGTCCATGAGAAGCTATTTTTAAAATGAGACCATGATTAGTGCTTCAGTGGAGATGCAGAAGAGGAAAGGATGAGAACAGATCTGACCAGATATTCAACTTGAGGCAGAGATGGGTTTTGAAATGAAGTGTCAGAGGCAGCCAAGAACTGTTAAGGAGGCTCTCTTAGGAGGAGAGCACAAGAATGGCACAAGAATGGAATGGAATGAAGTGCAGATTGGGAAGGTTCCTAGTGAATTGAGGAGAGAGTGCAGAAAGCACATTTGCCCACATCATGGCTGGCCTTAAATGCCACAGTGAAGATGATCAGAGTTCTCAGACTCATCTGCCATTTTGCAGGATATGTTCTCTCTGAGTATAAATGGGTAAATGGGTGGGCCCTTTCTACTTGGTTCTGGCTAACATTGCAGCCTGGGGCCACATGCTGCCTGCTCTGATGGAAGGGGCTGTGCTATGGGGTGCCAGTACTGCCCTGTGGCTTTCACCTGCATTCTCCTTTAGACCCTCAATGGAACCCTTTGGCATGTATCCCTGCAGGTCCGTTATGCCACCTGGAGCATCATAATGGACTCTGTGGTACCTTCAGACAAAGGCAACTACACCTGTATTGTGGAGAATGAGTATGGCAGCATTAACCACACCTATCAGCTCGACGTCGTGGGTAAGTCAGCCAAAGTGGCAGGAATAGGCTTGGAGGAAAGGGCAGGGGCTGGCAAACACAGGATTCCTAGATAGCATGTAGCACTGCACTTCCCCTACTAAGCCTGACTTTTCTTGTCTACAAAATAGAATGAAGAAGGTCAGACGAAGATACACCTGAAAGCTATATGTTACTGTGGAGCAGAAGATGCTATTGATGGTTCATCCTGAAAGATGTGGCTTGTGCATTGATGCTAAATGTAGCATAATGTTAGCACATAACCTTGAGGGCTTAGTGAGGTCAGACACTCTGTGAATGTAGAATCACAGCATGTACCCACTCTGGGGCATCACAGGAGACTCCAAGAGGAATACCATGCCTCTTGGGGCTATGATTGCAGCCCAGTTCTTCTAGAAGATCTGGATCTCATGCTCCCAAGATCTCGGGGTGCAGTGTCACAGCCAGCATCCTGCCCTGGCTTTGATAGTATATTCCAAGAAGATTGTGGTCCCAGAGGTCTGGCGTAGGTCTTAGATTCTGGTTTTTGACAAGCTCTTGGTTGATGCTGCCATAAGCTCGGGACAGCAAGAGTCTGAGTGACTATGATTCTAGTTGACAAGTAGGCTGTGGATGTTACAGATAGACTGGGGATGTGACTGAGTTGCAGGGTTCTTCATGTAGACAAGAATTTAACTGTGTCTGTGAATGTGGGTACATTGCCTCAGAGAGGAGGTTCCTGAGGGCTTGGGGCTAGAAGACAGGTATCCCTTCTCCCAGCTCAGTTTCAAGGGCTCAGCAGAAGCACCAGGAAGGGTACTGCCTGTCACTGGGAAAGCTGAGGGGGCACCAATGTGGGTGTACACCTTTCTTTAGGATGATATCCTCTGTCAGCATCCCAGCCAGGACCAGATCATGGCAGAGTCTGACAAGCCTGTCCTCTCCATTGTTCTACAGAGCGGTCCCCACATCGGCCTATCCTACAGGCAGGATTGCCTGCCAACAAGACAGTGGCCCTGGGCAGCAATGTGGAGTTCATGTGTAAGGTGTACAGTGACCCACAGCCCCACATCCAGTGGCTGAAGCACATCGAGGTGAATGGGAGTAAGATTGGTCCAGACAACCTGCCTTATGTCCAGATCTTGAAGGTAATCTTGGCCCCAGTCTTTATGGGCCAGTGTGCTGGGAAGGTGACCAATGTCTCCTAGGGGATATCTCCAAGTCTCTGTGGTCAGGCCCAGTATCCAGGACTGGGACTAAACCCTTACCCTTCAGGCATACACTCGCCAGAGTAGGGATCTAGCCACATTCCCTAGGACGAGTGACATATCACAAAGTAGAGGTGAGCTGGGAACACATGGCTGGGGAGTGGGCCATGCCAGTTTCTAAAAGTGTGGAGAGTGACAGCTAGGACTTCTGGGTCAGCCACTCAGTGCATTTGGACTCCTGCTTATTCATTGCCTGAGACCAAAAACTTTCCAGCTAGGGTCTCCCAGTCTTGACCCTGCTAGATTCCCAAGTTAGGGTGTTTCAGCAAGTGGGTGAATGATAACAAAGTTTAGTTGGAAAAGCAAATGCCACTCATAAATTCTAAGCGGTATGAGGAGTAATGGCATTTTCTTCCTTTTTCCTTTCACTCCCAGACTTTCATTGTCCCTGAATGCTCCATTAATCCAGGGAAGGTAATTGGCTAAATCTCCAGTGGATCTTGCAACAGGAAGTAACCAGAAGCTGGGAAAGTGGTTTACCTTCTTGTCCCAGAGTTAGACCGCATCCTCCCCTGACTTGGCTGTCCCAAAGATTTATCGGCTGGCCCTTCCCTCCACCACTGGTGCTGCAACTGCTCTGGAGGAAGAGGGGTCATGGCCCTGGCCTGTTTCCATAATACCTGCTTCAGTCCTGAAGGAGTGGGTTTAACACAAATAGAACATTTGCTTTGGGACAGTGGTTTCTTTCTTTTTTAAAAAAAATTTTAATCAAATGTTTCAGGGGGGCCAACCTTGTTTTGTCCTACTCAAAAGGGGAAAATTATAAATCCCTCAGTGTTTCCCTTGCCTTGGCTCCATGGGCCTGTCTGAAAGTGGCACAGGAGCAAAGTATGGCCACATCTCAGTGTTTGCCCAACTGACTGGTGTGTCGTTGGTTTGTTCCAGCATTCGGGGATTAATAGCTCGGATGCGGAGGTGCTGACCCTGTTCAATGTGACAGAGGCCCAGAGCGGGGAGTATGTGTGTAAGGTTTCCAATTATATTGGTGAAGCTAACCAGTCTGCGTGGCTCACTGTCACCAGACCTGTGGCAAAAGGTAAAGGGGAGATGGATGGGACCCTGTGCTGGGAACTTGATTTAGGCCCCACACTGCTGGGGCAGGAGGGGAAGCGAGCGCCGACTCTCCCTGTTATCCTACTGTATTCCTAGTGCCCAGAGCCATGGAAAAATACCTGGCCTGGGAGGCTGGTTTGGTTTGGTACTGTGTTGGTGGCTCCCTCTGTGCCTCTTGTCTGTTCCTTGGCTGTATGTATATCTGCACATGGACTTTTGCTGTGTTAGGAATGATGGTTTGAGTGGTGGATGAAAGAAGGGACCAGGTGTTCCCTTGCAAGGTGTGTGTGTCTGTGTGTCTGTGTGTCTGTGTGTATGTGTGTGTGTGTGTGCACGCGCGCGCACAGCACCCTTCCTTCCCTTCTGTGTATACCTTGACTTTCTTTACCTGAAACCAAACAGCCCCCCACCTGCCGGGCCCCATTTCTCCATGCCGCCCACCGCCCGCATGCTTGGATGGGCCAGTGGCTGCCAGCGTCTGGTGAAGGGTCATAACCAGCCATCCTCTTCTCAGGTCTGCCGGAGTTCCTCCCTCAGGGCCTCAGTCTCTTCCTCTAACAGGTCTCGCTGCCTGGTGGTTTTTGTTTGTTCCTTATTGCAAAGGAGACGCTGGGGAGCATTTCTTCCTCTGTTTTTTTTTTCCCCCTCTTCTCTCTCTCTCTCCCTTTCTCTGTGTCTCTTCGAGGTCCCATGTCTGGTGCTTGTCCATTTTGCTTCCGTTGTCTCTTCTAGACTGCCGGAGTTAATACCACCGACAAAGAGATGGAAGTGCTTCATTTAAGAAATGTCTCCTTTGAGGACGCGGGGGAGTATACGTGCTTGGCGGGTAACTCTATCGGACTCTCCCATCACTCTGCATGGTTGACCGTTCTGGAAGGTATACACTGTACTTCTCCTCTCGATGTCCTGCCCTTGCCATGGGCACGGGGGGAGCATGCATTGTGTGGCTAGGGGACATACAGTGCCGGGAAAGGTGGGTAGAGGGATGGCTCCTGCCTACCATGTGCCCTTTTTTGCTCCACCTTGGAGGGTTACATCCTCTCGACTTAAGAGGTTCCTGGTTTTGCAGGAACACAGAGGTGTCCCACCTGTACACCTGCATCTGTCTCTCCCCTTGGCCAATGCAATGCATGCACGGGCTCTGGTTTACCGTGCAGCTGGGCCCTTCTCCAGGGCAGGCTCCTTCCCTCCTTGGATCCAGCAGCTTTCCCTCATCCATTTGATGCTGAGTGTCAGAAAGGCTTGCCATTTGAAGGACCAGCGCTGGTCCACCCCTCTATACTGCCATCCTCTGTCACTATCTAGACAGTAAACTTCAGCTGCCTTGAGTCAGACCTGTCTCTGGAAGCTACTGGAGGCATGATGATCCTCTCTGGCTACTGCCAACCCTCCTCTCTCAAGAAAGGAGGTCTGCATGTTGAACCAGGATGGAAGGAGCCTGCAACCTGCGCAGGGTGGTGGACTGGTGACTGCAGGGCCAATGCTAGTTGTGACTGCATCTCTGAGTGCCCTGCATGTGGTCTGGGTGCTGCTGTGTCCTATGGCTGCTTAGACTGCCCTCCTTTCTCTTCTCTTTCCCTCTGCCCCTGTCTGATCTGCTTGCCCAGCAAGGTTTCACAATGCCCTGCTTGTGACAAGAGAAGTGTTCTGTTTTTATCATTGTTCCTGTCTCTGTCCTGTCTGTGCTCCCAATGAGTTGTCTTCGTTTCTCAACATTGGGGGAAGAAAAAACAGAACCCTTCTCCACTAGAACCCTTCTCCCCTTATCAGCTCAGCTGTCTCCTTGTCAGGACTTGAGGCTCACTCCAGGGCTGTGCTTTGTGCCCCTCTGGGAGGGCTCCCAGGGATGCCGCCTTCCTGGTAGCTGGCTGGTGTTTTAAAGGGAGGATTGGGAGAACTATAGAAGGGGGAGGACTGTCCACATGGCGGGGCAGAGAGTGCTCGCTGATGCTGGCACCAAGTTTCTCGTGTTGAAGGAAAAGGTGAACTAACTGGTGTGGCTTCTGTCGGCATGAGTGTGAATTCTAAGTAGAAGGCAGGAGAAGAGAATAGAATAATGCCTCCTCCCATTTCCTAAAGTTTTGAGTCCTACAGAATCTGTTGAGTTCTTAGGAATAGGGGGGAAAAAAAAGTTTGTTTTTCATCTAGAGCAGTCCAAACATGTTTAAAAGTCAAAATCAGTTTTGCTTGGGGCTGGGGATGTGGCTCAAGCATGGCATGCGCAGGTCGCTGGGTTCAGTCCTCAGCACCACATAAAAATAAAATAAAGATGTTGTGTCTACCGAAAACTAAAAAAATAAATATTAAAAAATTCTAAAAAAAAAATCAGTTTTGCCTGGGGTTTGGCAAGGTATAAATATTTACATGTCTGACCTGACAGATGACACAGACGTGAGGCGGGATGTTTAGTCAGGACACAGGCGGGTCCCTACCTTCCCTTTCTTTGTCTCCTGAATCCCCCTGTATTGCCAGGTATTGCAGCATACAGGGCTGAACGAGATACAGGCCTCATATATAATGACCTCCTGGGCCCTTGGGGTCAGGGACTCAGAAACTGTCTGTTCCCATGTGATAAGTATGTGTGTACAGTGCTGAAGCTGTGCTGAGAAGGGCCTTGTTTCCATAAGGAGCCCGAGAAAGGCATGCGAAGACGCTTCTCAGCTGCTTCTGGGATACCTGATCACCTGTCTAGCCCAGCAGTCCATTCTTGTGAGCGAGGAATATCTGGTATAAGGGAGGATGGGACTTGGGTAGCGAGATAGTCTAGTCCATTCCCTTTAAGGGCTTCAAGTCAGTTTAAAGACAACACAAAAGTTTCAGGACGTCTAATCCCCTGTGTCAGAATCACAATCCTAGCTAGGACCTGTCTTGGTTCTTCCCCCTCCCTAAAAGTTCCCGGGGGAAAGGAGATGGGTTTCATGTTTCTTATGGAGCAGGGCCTCTTATGGACGGGGGGCCCCAGAGCCTGCTAACAACCTGTTCACACTGACTCAGCCCTGGAAGAGAGACCGGCAGTGATGACCTCGCCCCTGTACCTGGAGATCATCATCTACTGCACAGGGGCCTTCCTCATCTCCTGCATGGTGGGCTCTGTCATCATCTACAAGATGAAGAGTGGTACCAAGAAGAGTGACTTCCATAGCCAGATGGCCGTGCACAAGCTGGCCAAGAGCATCCCTCTGCGCAGACAGGTAACAGAAAGTAGATGGGGGATTCGCATGCTCTCTGCCACCTTCTCTTCCTGGGCCTCCAGGGACTTGTCTCACATGCTCTCATGCTTTGTCCCCTCCACTATCCCTGATCTTCTTCAGGCTTTGCTTTCTGGCCTCTAGGCCTCTGGAACGTTCTAGGTGTTCCCAAATCAGTTTCACACTGCTTTTCATGCCTGTAAATTCCTATAAGTCACAAATACAGCTGCCCCACTCACCTGGCACTGAATTTAGAGAAAGTCTTGTCTTAAATGTGAAGCTGGTATCATGCATTTGGACTGTCCCCAGGGCTGATTAGAGGTGGAGAAGGCCTGATTAGGTCCTCCATGCCCCCTTCCTTTTAGTGTGCCCCTCCCTCAGGAAACCTCCCAGGAGGTGAAGGTGTATGCAGGAATGACCATTCACTCAGAACACTGCTGACTCTGGAAGTTGCTTTAGGGGATAGGAAACTATAATCTGAGGCAAGGTTTTTGCAAAGAATTGGGAAAAGAATAGTTTTGTTATTGTGATAGAGCTATAAAATATCAAGCTGAAAGAGGTACATTTGGTCTGTTCATTTAAAAGGTGAGTAAAATGAAGTCCAGAAAGGCTAGTCAGGTGGTGGAAATCAGTCAGGTTCTAGAACTTTGGTCTTCTGACCTCAGATGGTCTTTCTGCCACTCTGCATTGAGGGAAGCATGTCATGTAGATAGAAGCGTACCTCTGCCATGGTTAAAAGTCCTGATGAGGAACTGAAAGGAACCTGCTACTGCCACTCCCCCTCTCCTCACACCCTTGCTAGAAGGGTGACCCCACTCTCCCCTGCAGGTGTCAGCTGACTCCAGTGCATCCATGAACTCTGGGGTACTTCTGGTTCGACCCTCTCGTCTCTCCTCCAGTGGGACCCCCATGCTAGCTGGGGTCTCTGAATATGAGCTTCCTGAAGATCCCCGATGGGAGCTACCCAGAGACAGGTACTACTCTAACTCCCAAGTTTTTCAGAACTCCCTTTGCTTGTTATTCTCTGATGGGAACTGTGTATACCATGACCTCCAGGGAGTAAAGGTATATGAGTGCTTCCAGAGCTAATGCTGCCTGCTCTGTGCTCTCACTTGGGTGAAATATGGAGAGGCAGAGATGGGGTGTCATGAAGACTTTCGACTTACTTGCCGCAGCTTACACTGTTCTCTTTTCCCCCCCAAAAGACTGGTCTTAGGTAAACCTCTGGGAGAAGGCTGCTTTGGGCAGGTGGTATTGGCAGAGGCCATTGGGCTGGACAAGGACAAACCCAACCGTGTGACCAAAGTGGCCGTGAAGATGTTGAAGTGTAAGTAATATTTCTGCCTTGCAAAAGAAAACCCTTCCCTTTCTAGGCAAACTAGTCTCAACCAAGTGGGATACCTTCTCTGGTGCTTTCAGTGCCTACACCTGCTATGTGCCTACATGGGTTACCTGCGAGTAGAAGGGTATTCTGTGCCCTGAGATGTGAGGTGGCTATTATCATCTCACTTCGTTCTTTTTTTTTTTTTTTTTGGTACTGGGGATTGAACCCAGGGGCACTTAACCACTGAGCCACATCCCCAGCCCTTTTATATTTTATTTAGAGATAGGGTCTCACTAAGGGCCTTGCTAAGTTGCTGAGGCTGGCTTTGAACTCACGATCCTCCTTCCTCAACCTCCCAAGCCGCTGAGATTACAGGCGTTCACCACCATGCCCAGCATCACCTCATTCTTGATGTCTTCCTGGGCTGTGCTCAGGTGCTCATTCTAGATCCCATAACTGATTTTTCTTACTATATCCCTGGACACACTTGCTACCATATATTGCAGAATTGGCTCCCATAGGGAAGGGAAAATAAACTTGATTGGGAAGTGGGGAGAGGAAAAGCAAGTTCTGGAGCAAAGGGGCCCCTCAGGCATACACCCTTCCCCTGTCCTTTACCTGTCCTTCCCCCTCCCTCCATAATATCGTTAAAAGAGTTTCACACCCATTCTCTGGTTTGTATGTGAAGCGGATGCAACAGAGAAGGACCTGTCAGACCTGATCTCAGAGATGGAAATGATGAAGATGATTGGGAAACACAAGAACATCATCAACCTGCTGGGGGCCTGCACTCAAGATGGTAGGGTCTGGCTCTTGAGTGTCAGTGATAAGGACTCTCTCTCGGGGTTAAGAGGAGAGGCTAGTTTAGCAGTGGTTAGAATGTATTTCTTTGGATCTGAACTGGTGCCCATTGGTGTTCATCTGAGAGTACAGGCATTTACATTCACACACATTGTATGGGCAGGAATAGAGAAGTAATTGTGGTCTAAATTAAGGCTCTTACCCGCAATGTTGCTTGGGAACTTTCTAGGCTGTGGTCGGAAGAATTGTTTCTCTGACTTTCTTTGGGTAGTAGAATGACTTTTCCTGTTGTCAGGAGGTAGAAACAGCATTTAAGATCGGGGAACATATGTATGATGTGTTTGGGGGATTGGTATTTCCTCCAGCTGATGCTAAACCTTACCAACTACCTGACCTGCTGTGTCCTCATCTTGTGTTCCCAGGTCCTTTGTACGTCATTGTGGAGTATGCTTCTAAGGGTAACCTGCGGGAGTTCCTGCAGGCCCGGAGGCCCCCGGGTCTGGAATACTGTTACAACCCCAGCCACAACCCAGAGGAACAGCTTTCCTCCAAGGACCTGGTATCCTGTGCCTATCAGGTGGCCCGAGGCATGGAGTATCTTGCCTCCAAGAAGGTATGGAACCTAAAGGCTCCATGAATGAGGTTGGGATGGGACAAAGCCCTGCTGATACTCCAACTTGTGACTTTTAATCTTTTGGTAGAGTTATACACATATTGACCTCTGACCACATGTGCTGTCTTAGGCTTTCAGGGAGCCTCAGAGGCAAGAGAGAGGGTGTAGCCTAATGGCTTTGGGATCAGACTGCAGTGGGTTCCAATCTGTTTTCTACCACTTTCTGTGTAACCTTGGAAAGCTATCGAACATCTTTTTTTAATCAAATGATAATAATACTTATATTATAGGAATAAAATGAAACCATATCTGTGACAGTAAAAATTAAGTGTAGTTCTCGGTGCTCAGTAATTGGTAGCTTTCTTTGAACACCAGCTCACCATGGATAGGCTGTGCCTGGAGAGACAGGGCTTACATTCTTTTTTTTTTTGGATATTTTGTTGGTTTTAGTTGTTGATAGACTTTTATTTAATATGATTCATTTATATGTGGTGCTGAGAAACAAACCCAGTGCCTCACACATGCCAGGCAAGTGCGCTACCACTGAACCGCAGCCCCAGCCCCCTGAAGATCCTTCTTTGGGGTGAGAATCCAGAAGCTCAGAGTTAGAAGGACCAGAACGGAGGCCTATAAGAAATATTTTCTAAAATGATTGAGAGGCCTGGAACTGGAGGTGTTTGGAGTAGAGGAAAAGAACATTCTAGGAGGGGAAATAGATGCTCAGAGGGTACAGCATGGCAGATGAGCTGGGTCTGCTGCTGGCTGCAGAGTGAGTGCTGAAACGGAGGGGACTCTGACAGCTGGATCGTGGTGCATGTTTCAAGGCTGTCACCTGCCTCCCACCCTCCCCTCTGCAGTGCATCCACCGAGATCTAGCTGCCAGGAATGTCCTGGTGACAGAGGACAATGTCATGAAGATTGCAGACTTTGGCCTAGCTAGGGACATTCACCACATCGACTACTATAAAAAGACAACCAACGTAAGTGCTGCCTGGGGCTTGTCCCCCGCCCTGGGCACTGTCTTACCAGGCATTCCCCACTTAGGTGTCTCTGCTATAACCCACCTGGGTTGCTGTCCTTGACAGGGTGGAAGGGTGGGCTGAAATTATGCACTGACCTCCCCCTGCCTGTGCCCTCCCTGCCCTGGGCTATTCCCAATCTTCTCATGCTGCTCACAGGGCCGGCTACCTGTTAAGTGGATGGCTCCTGAGGCACTGTTTGACCGGATCTATACCCATCAGAGTGATGTGTGAGTTTGAATAAGCAATTGCCAGGGGTTCTGAGCGTGGGAGTTCTGATGCCCCCTGGATTGATGAGAGTCTCCTGTGTTGGAGAGACGACACCAACGTTATTTTATCCACTAGCTTTGTCCCTATATGTTGAGAGCACCAGTCTCCCCCTTGTATTCCCTTTGGAGTTAAGAGTTGTGTTGGGCAGGGGGAGGTTTGGGATGGGTACTTGCCATGCTGGCTTCCGAAAGGGAGACAGGAAAACCCAACTCTGTTCCCTGAGACTCAGTGGCTCTGTGCTCATCTGCAGGTGGTCTTTTGGGGTGCTCCTGTGGGAAATCTTCACTCTGGGTGGTTCCCCGTATCCTGGTGTGCCTGTGGAGGAGCTTTTCAAGCTGCTGAAGGAAGGTCATCGAATGGACAAACCCAGTAACTGCACCAACGAGCTGTAAGCTTGAGAAGATTCCTCAGCCAAGCCCTGGGGGGAAGAATGGTCTCGAAGGCAGAGGGAGAGGGGTGTTCATCTAGAGAAGTAACCCCTCCTAGCCATCCTTCCCCTAAGGCCTCCGACGCATCTTTCTACTTCCGTCCTTCCTCCCTGACCTCACAATCTTGCCACAGGTACATGATGATGCGGGACTGCTGGCATGCGGTGCCCTCTCAGAGACCTACCTTCAAGCAGCTGGTGGAAGACCTGGACCGCATTGTGGCTTTGACCTCCAATCAGGTAAGACTGGCGGCCCTCAGGCCATCATATGGGTATGTGTGGCAAACCCTGCTGCAGGGAGGGGCATGCCCTACCATCGTCCTCTCTCACCTATCACAGGAGTATCTGGATCTGTCAATGCCCCTAGACCAGTACTCGCCCAGCTTTCCTGACACCCGAAGCTCTACCTGCTCCTCGGGGGAGGATTCCGTCTTCTCTCATGAGCCGTTGCCTGAGGAGCCCTGTCTGCCCCGACACCCTACCCAACTTGCCAATGGTGGACTCAAACGACGCTGACTGCCACCCTCCTCCTTCCCCAACCTCCATCATCAATTGTGTCCCTCACCCACAGCTCCCTGGACTCACTGCCTTTCCCTGCCCCTTTCCTGCTGGCAGGAGCCAGCCGCCTACTTGAGGCCTTCCTGTGTGGCCTGCCTGCACCCACTGAGCTCTCTCTCTTCCTCCTCTTCCTCTCAACCTGCTTGTGAGAGAGAGGAGTAAAGAGGCAGGTACTTGCTGGTGGCCACTTTGTTCTCTCCCAGGTGTTGGACCAAGACCCTTCCCTGTCACCCAGCACTGCCTGGAAGGTCGGGGAGTGGGTAGTGAGCAGGCATGCAAGTGAGAGCTTTACTGAGCTTTCTAGTATTGGTATTGTCTGTTTCACCTTAACCTGTCAGCCCCTTGCATTCTGGTGGCAGGTGCCTTGTCCTCAGGGCTGCAGCTGTAGGGAGCTCAGTGCTTCGGCCTCAATTGAAGGTGACCTCTGCTCCAGATGGATGGTGCCAGTGGCTTATTAATTCCAATACTAATTTGCTTTGCTGACCAAATTCCTGGTACCAGAGGATGATGAGGCAAAGACTGGGAGCAGTGATGTGGCCCTGGGGCCCAGCCCTGAACTGGGGGCTTTGTACATAGCTACGAAGAAAACACAAAGTGTATAAATCTGAGTATATATTTACATGTCTTTTTAAAAGGGTCGTTACCAGAGATTTACCCATTGGGTAAGATGCTCCTGGTGGTTGGGAGGCATCAGTTGCTATATATTAAAAAAAAAAGAAAAAAAAAAGAAAAAGAAAAAAAAAAGGAAAATGTTTTTAAAAAGGTCATATATTTTTTGCTACTTTTGCTGTTTTATTTTTTTAAATTATGTTCTAAACCTATTTTCAGTTTAGGTCCCTCAATAAAATTTGCTGCTGCTTCATTTTTATATGGGCTGTGTGAAAAGGGAGCAACTGAACACAGGAAAGGAGGGAGACTGAGGGCCCCGGGGCTGTCTGTCCAGCAGGCACCATGTTCCCTGCAGTTCCCTTGTAACCTCTTCCTCCTAGGTCGTGCACCCAGACCTCCAGAACAAACCTCCTACCTCTCCCATGCTTTTGGAAAGGCAGGAAAAGAAGATGTCTGCATCTTGGCAGGAACTGTGCCCCAGAGGTACTGGGCAGAGAGCCAAGACTGAACAGCCCACAACCACAGATTGTTTCCTCAGAGGAAGCAGGGAAGGGGCCACAGAGAGGAAAGGCCTTGGAACAGCCAAGGGGTAAAATCTACAGTGACTGAGAGGAAAGCTAAGGATTGTTCAGAAGGGTCTGCTAAGACTCAGGCCCAGATAGATAGGCAGCTCCCCCAACACCCAGGATGTGGGTGTGGCTTGGCCTGTGCCTCTGAGTGAAGGAGAAACTTGTCGTGTACTTCAACATTCAGGTCCCTTGCTTTATCTTTTCCAGACTCCTCTGTTCATTATTTTCCCCCAAACCATTCTTCTGTATCTGTATGACCAGACTGCATTTGTTGGGTCTATCACAGATCTTGGCTTCCTATAGTTCTTCCTCTACAAACTCCACCTCGTCCCTCAGGAAGGGGGGAAAAAATTCTCTAAATGTTTTGGTTTTTGGCTGCTTGAAAGCTTCTGCCACCTGCTGGTTGTCACTGTCCTCACCAAGTGGATTCTGGCTCTTCTGTACCTTATTGTTCAACCTAGTACTACTCAGCCTGTCCTTTATTTAAGCTTGCTTTCTGCTGGGCTACTGCTGAATCAAAAAATGGTCAGCATTTCTGTAGGGGAAATGGGATTGCTGCTTTAAATTTCCTTTCTGAGCTGGGCATATTTTGGCAGCAGCAGTGTTGGTAACCATTGTACAATTTTCTGTCTTTGTTTTTCTCTGTAAATATGCAATTGTTGGCATATTGCCATTTGTGTTTATGTTTAAAGAAGGCATAATTTAGTGAACGGAACCAGGAAATGAATTTTAGCTCTTAAAATCATGTGCTTTGAGACCATATAGTAGTGTCTTTCCTTGTAGTGGTGGTAATTTCTGCCTTGGCCCTACCTTGATATGATTTTGTTTGAGTGGATGGAGGCTCTATAAAGGGCTTTATATGCCTGTAGGGGAGGTGCTAGAGAAATATAAGGCACTATTATTATAACAGTGATGTCCTTGCTATTACTACTCACAATCACCCACAAATTTCCCCAGAGGCTGGGTTGGCTGTCAAATAAAAGATAGTGAAATTGACCTGAGAGAAAATGAAATGGCCATTTTACTTAGATGACCAGATTGGTTCTCTTGGGGAAGGGAATCCAGTTTATCTAATGAAGACATTGTGCTGTCAAAGTGCTGAATCTGTCTGGTTTCCTGAGGGTTAAAAGATTAGGGCCTGGGATCACCACAGCATTAATCAATACTGCCTTTCCATCTTTCCTAATTGCCATAGGCTGAAGATCATCATTCCCTTGGCCCTGCTAATGTAATGTATTGATCTCAGGTAAGTAAGATTGAACATGAAATGAAGCAAGAAATCTATCTTAATGAAGTTACTGTGTCTGTCAGCCACCACTGGGTGGCACCAGCAAGCTAAATTCGCACCATTAGGTAATGCGTCGGTTTGCTTGGAAGTAACATTAACCTGATCTTACCTGTGAATGTGTACTGGTGGTGAACGGGAAGTCTTTAACCTAGGTTTAGCATTACAGAACACGGATTGGATATCACCAATATGACTTGTGATTAAAGTACAGCATTAAATGTGGCACCAGGGTAGGACCATAAAGGCCACAAACTCCTCTGTATCTTAGCAGAATTCTCTGTGTGTGAGACACAGGCCAAGTCTAACATCATTAGTTATATGTTAGAGAATACCAGAAATCCATGAGGTCATTAGCAGGTGGTAGAGACAGGCACCTGCATCTACAGAGAAGAGTAGAGAACAGTGAGATAGAAAGGAGAGGGCTTTGAAGCAACCTGGTATTGCCTTCCATTCCCTCAGCTGATAAGCCAGGAAGGAGGAAGATCAACAAGAACCCAGGTGTTAAAGAAGTCTTGGTCTGAGGCCAGTTCCCTCTGGTTGACACTTTAGCAATATTCAGAACTGTCTGTATCATTCTGCCTCCAAGATGCATGCTTTGGCACATAGAAGTGATGCATTGAAAAACCCTGTGTTGTCAGCTAGTTCAGCTGTCTCCTGTGACTCTGTGAGGCCTAGAGCCAGTTGTGTGCTTTCTCAAAAGCCAGTTGGGCACATCTTTTCCCAACTCTGCATTGTTCAGTGATTTCATGTTGGTGGCCTAAAATCAGCCATGATAGAAGAATTACATCACTGAAACCTGCAAATGCTTCAAATCAGAGAAATGTTCCCCTTTAGATTTGGTTGTTAATCATGCCAAAGCAACACCAGCCAGGTTTGGCATGGGGCTAAATCTAACCCTACGTGATGAGTATAAAGAAACATCCCTGAGTTTTCTTGGATGAGCTACTCACTTTTTAAGAGTGGAAGAGGGGGCTGGGGCTGTAGCTCAGTGGTAAAGCACTTGCCTCACATGTGTGAGGTACTGGATTCAATCCTCAGCACCACATAAAAATAAATAGATACTGTGTGTTCATCTACAACTAAAAACATTAAAAAAAAAAAAAAAAAGAGTGGGAAGTGTGTCTGATATGCCCAGACGTTAGAAAAAACATGTGAAAGGCCAACAAGCCAAAAGTGAACAGGGCTCCTCATATAACCATTCCCAATCAGCTCACAGGGAAGGGCAGAAAAGAATTTTAATACAGCCCAACAGTATATGCTAGTCATTCAACTGAAACAAACCTGAGCAAGTTAGCTTATTCATTTACCATATTTCATACCTGAAGTGTGGACTAATTCAAATAAACACCCATCATCTTAAAAATGGGAAAATTTATTGTGAAATCATTTGGCTCTGCCAATAGCAAGATCCATGGAATCCTATATTGCATAGTAGGGATTCTTCATCCTGAAGGAACTGAAATTAACTGGTAGGACAGGGTGGACTTGTCCTCTGATGGAGAAGTTTAGGAAGCATTTTAAAGTGCATGAACTTGCTATAAAATGCTGGTGATATTTCTCATATAGGTGGTTTCAGGTGAGGCAGATCTGCATTTTACTTGGTTTAATTGACTCCATCTAACTGTCTTGTTTCATAGCAGGTAATCTAATTTCATCACTCACAGGCTAAAATATCTTTTCCCTTCTCAGTTCCCCAAAGGAAGAAAGCTCTTGGTCAGCTGCATAACTGTCTGTTCAGTTGTTTCACTATTAATAATAGTGAAAACACTAAATGTAAATAACTAAACATTATACTTGTTACTAAGTAGCATAGGGATTGTATTGGACTTTACCAACCCCTACGACTAACAAAGTCTTATTTGTGAGAGACAAACTGACAAAAAAAACACTCACCCAGCACAAATGGTTAAGCGTTAAATCCTTAATTATGTTTCTTAGCAAAATGGTAGCTAATGGAAGCCATATGTGCTAGAATAGTGGCCACCTCCCAGATTCTTACAGCCTTTGCAAGCCCAGGAGGAGGATGCCTCAGAACAGTTAAGCAGTAGCCAAGTCTTGATTGCCAGTCTGTTTAGCTTCCCATTTTCCCTTCTAAGAAGCTTTCCCTTTATATTTTGAAAAACCTTACTGAGAAGTATAACCATCCTGTCTCATAGGGTACTTTGTTTCTGTTCCTACTGATAGATCATTCTGAAAAAGTTGATTTAGGTGCTCTTAAAATGGGTTTTGAAGTCTCCAAGTTCTGACTCCAGACTCCAAACCATAGGAGGCAAAGATATCCAAGGTGCCAAGGTAATTCCATTATGCAAAACAATTTCCTTTCTTAAAAGACATGCGCACAAATAGGAAACTGTTCAAAACAATACATGGTGGTGGGGGTGGGCTTTACAGTTTAGTGGGATGACATAATGGTACAGAGGAAATGACTTTGCAATTACATTTCTCTAAATGGCCTGAACTTGGTGTCACTGCTGACATCATCTGGAATGGTT